TGAACCGCGGTCCCTGTGCTTTGCCAAGCTTGTTCGAAGTAGGTGCTTTAGACCACTGAGCCATCTCTCCAGCCCCATAGACCCCTTCTTTTTGCATCTGTGCTTGCATGAAAATCAGTTGCATAAGACTTTGTAATTCTGCTGACCTCATGGCATTGAGACCATGACAGGAAGAGGCCTCTCTCTGCCCCCTCTTCCTTCCTTCCTTCCATTCTTCCTTCCTTCCTTCCTTCCTTCCTTCCTTCCTTCCTTCCTTCCTTTTACTCTTTCTTCTCTTTTAAAAGATATCCAAACAAGGAAAGTTCAGCTAAGACTGTCTAGATTCCAGTAGCTTTGCAATTATTAAACTATTTGGTCTTGGGTCTACTTTACCTTTTTAAATTGAAGATGCAAAAGCACTTTTGTAAATTTTTATCCATCAATATTTATCATATTACAAATGAATGCTGAGGCATTTAAAAATCACATAAATTCATTAAAAAATAATCAACCTGGTATAGCAATATGCGATGCTGATGGAAAGAGTAACTATTTCTGAAACAACAACAGGAATTAGTGGGGAAAGCACTACTGTTTTAAATTTTTGTAAACGCCTTTACTTAAAATCTGGATTTTCATATCTATGTCTCCACTCAATCCACTGTGATGCCACCTGTCGTGTGGCTTTGGGACCCACCGACCACGTGAGATAATGAGAATGGAAATGTTTAATAACCTCTTATTCAGTTTACTTATGTACATAGTTTTGACCTTGTGGACTTGTTCAAAAAGTCTCAGGGATTCCCTACCGGGTTCCCAAATTATGCTCTGAGGGGGCAAGCCCTGTAGCTCAGTTCTTTAAGTGGCTGCTTCAACAAAGCAGTCAGGCTCAGGTTGCTTGGGTTCGATCCCCACAACACAAGACAGCCAGTCATGCCTTGAAGGCATTCCGAGCAAAAACAAAACAAAACAAAACAAAAAAAACCCAACAAAAAACAACAACAACAACAACAAAAAAAAAAAACAAAAAAAACCACTTCTGCCAAAGTATGCTCTGAGAACCCTTGTGGTGGTATATCCTCTAGTTTCTTTCTGATCATGGCTCTCCTGTCTCCATGACAACCTGCATCCCATAATGAGCAGAACAAAACAGGCTTATGCAGAACTGTCAAGTACTTGGCTTCTATCTGCCTGCTCGCAAGGTCTCCAGATTTTGAGGGTTCTGTCTGTTGACTCCCCAGGTACTTCCTCTGGTCCAGGTGCCTAGATCCTCAAAGTCTGACGTAAGCCGGAAGGACATGGCTCCTATTTTGTGCTTGTGGCTGAAAAGGTAGATAATCACAGCTGTCTTGGAGCTTTCTGGAATAACCTCACTATCTAATATGGCAAGCACCAGAAGGATGTGGCTATTGTATACTTAAAACGTGGCTAATGCGATTAAGGGAGGGAGCCATGTTATTTTATTTTAATTTAACTTAAATCCAAGTATCTATATGTTGTCACTCCTGTGTCATCACACCATACTTCGCGGGTACTTGCATACTCCTGTCCCTGAAGCAGTGGAAAGAAACCCTTGGAAGGGTTTTGAACGTGGGGTGGTGAGGGTGACACCTTCCGTTCTGTGTTTTCACGCCTGACCAGCATGCTGTTGTGCTTCTCTCCCCAGGACACAGGCCCCACCATGAGGCCCCAGCCCCTCGGGAGCCCGCGCGCCCCCCTGGCCCCGGGCGCACCGTGCTAGCCCTGCCAGGTGTGGGGACGCGCGGTAGCCATGGCCAGCCACGTGGACCTGCTGACCGAGCTGCAGCTGCTGGAGAAGGTGCCCACGCTGGAGCGGCTGCGCGCCGCGCAGAAGCGTCGGGCGCAGCAGCTGAAGAAGTGGGCGCAGTATGAGCAGGACCTGCAGCACCGCAAGCGCAAACACGAGCGGAAGCGCAGCGCTGGAGGCCGCCGCAAAAAGGTGTCCTTCGAGGCCAGCGTGGCCCTGCTGGAGGCTTCGCTGCGCAACGACGCCGAGGAGGGTAAGTGGCTGGGCCTCGGGTCCAGGTGGGGTCTGGGCCTCCGTGCTGCCTCTCCCCAGCAAAGGCAGCGACGCCCCTCTTCGTCTTTGCGAGGGCATGCTCCCAGGAAAATCTTTGGCTTTGTTTCTTAGATTTTTGTTGTTGTTGGAAACAAGGATTCCATCCTTTAGCTAATGAATACCATAATAATTTCCTTCACGCCAATATTTACTGACAACCTACTTCCTATGCGCTGCGATTCTAGATGCAGTATGAGCGCATTAGGCCTGATTTCTCCGCTCCAACAACTGGCTGATCTGGGGCCTTGCGTTTCTTAAGCCCTTCCTCTGTGGCCCCTTGCCTGTGAGATCTGCATGCCCTCCTGGTTGCACGGGTCTCCCCTGCAGCAGGCAACAGTGGAGGAGGTACAGCAGAGAACAGACCCCATGGCAGAGTCCCAGGTCTGGATAGCACCTCTGTGACTCAGGCGGTAGGCAGTCCCTCGCTCCTTGTGTTTGGTGAAAAATGAATCTAATGATAAAGTCTACTGTAAGCACCTGCTGTGAGTGTTAAATTAGAAACTACTTGTAAAGTTCCCTTAGCCAGGTGTGGTGGTACACACCTGTTGTCCCAGCACTCAGGAGGCTGAGGCAGGAGGACCATTGTGAGATTGAGGCTGGCCTGGGCTACAGAATGAGCTCAAGGCCAGCCTGAGCTCCACAGTGAGACCTTGTCTCAAAAAGACAAAATAATAATAATAATAATAATGGTAATAATGATAAAAAAATAATAAAGTTCCCTTAGACATAGTGCCTTCATGCTGACTGTAAATGTTTTAGGTATTATGTATATAACATCTATTTCACCATAGATTGTTATAATATAGTTTAGTGTACTATAATATAGTTTGTATTAGCATAGAATGTCAATAAAGCCTGGAAATATAGACAAATGTGCCTATTCAAGGTTGTCTAGGTCATTTTACCTCTATCAGTGAATAAATAAATGTAAATATGTTCATATAGCCTGCTTCCAGATTATATGGGTTCTTTTCCTTTTATTTTATTGGGTTATATTATTGCTATGGGTCCCGTCATCCAGATATCACCAGACTCAAGAGCCCCATCTAATACCACCCATTGTGTATGTGGGAAACAGGGACCCAGAATGGCTTGGACCTTTGGCTGAGGTGTCAGGGCAGGATCAAAATCCCCAGGACCTAAGTGTCCATCACTGCCCCCACGGCATTGAAGGTTTGCCTCACATTGTAAAGCTGCGTGATGGCTCCATGACTTGACCCATGCCTTCTCTTTGTGTGTTCTGAGGGGGTCATGCCTGTCACCACAACTGGGCTTTATGCACACCACCTTTGATACCCTCAGCAGCCTCCCTTTTATCCCCAGATGCCCAAGCCTAGCTGGCTGCTCCTGGAGAGACCTCACACGTTTCCTGAGCCCCTCTACCCATCCTCCAAGACCTGTGCTAAGGCAGTCAATGGAAGAACTGAGGGGTAGTGGCCCTTACAACACAGAAGGGCATTGGGTTTTCCAGCTCCAACATCTTTACTCCCAAAAGATGTGAAATCTGAATTACTCCCTGACTGGAACCAGAGAGCCCACCTGATGCCACAAGTGGCAAATTCCATAGCTGACTGCATGTGTTGAATTGTGGTTCAAATACAGATGTGCTAAAACTAGTGCATAGGATTACCTGCAGGCTGTGTGTAAAAGTGTGTGTGTGTGTGTGTGTGTGTGTGTGTGTGTGTGTGAAAGTGAAGCATAGAAGAGTTTCTTGTTTAGACTTGGGTTCTATTCCTGAGATATCTCATTATGCACATGCAAATATTCCAAACTTTTTAAAGTCTAAAAAATAAAACCTTTCTGGTCCCAAGCATTTTGGATAAGGGATTCTCAACCTCTGCAAACACAATTCCATTTTCATCCTGGTGACCTGGGCTCTAGAAGAGGAGCAGAGATGTGCTCCCAGAACTGCTTGGCTGGAAACAGCTCTGCTGAGGGCCTGGGGGGAGCAGCATCCCCCCCCCCCCCCCCCAAGGCATGAAGTCGCAGGCTCAGGGACGTGGCCTCGAGGCTCCTTCCCACATGTGCTTTACTGGATGACATGGCAGCACGTCCCACTCAGTGGGTGGCTCATCATGATGTCTAATTTTTGACGGAGGGATCGGCTCATCAGCTCTTCTCTCCCCACTCATCGTTCACTCCCCACTAACCTGATGAAGCCCCCTTCCCCTTCTGGGGGCACCTCAGGGGCTCTGTGAGCTGCCTGTGTGGCATCTCCCCTTAGTGTCTGTCCTGTGTACTGATTAGAAAGAACACTGGCCTTGGAGTCCAAGGACCAGTCCTTGTGCTTCCTGGCTACCCTTACCTGTGACCCTGAGCAGTTTGTTCCTCTTCTCTGGTCTGATTTCTCAGATGTGTAAAATAGGATCTTGAACACTTGCCCCCAAGAAGGTGTGGCAGAATTGGAAAAAACCTAGCATGTGACAGCTCTTTAAAAAGTTACCCTGTGCCCTGTATCAGTGCAGTGGCAATTTAAACACATTTTTTTTTGCATGTTTTGGCAGACTTTAATGTTTTGGAGAACTCAGATATACATAAACATATTCTTCTCGTAAAAATCAAACACGTCTCTTAACATCCAGCAGAAAAGTATAAAAATGAAGTATAAGAAGTAAAGCCATGCTGTTATGTTGAGCTGTAGGGGACTCAGGTCAACAATTTCTGACATTGCCAGTGAAGCGGAAGACCCAATACTATTATGGACTAATGGACTCTTTTAGAATATTTTGCTGAGTTAACACACCTATAATATTCAGATAACGGAACTTAACAAAAAAAGGGGATACAGATGAATGTCCATTTTGTATCTGTATATTCAAAATGGTTGCATTCTCTTAATGAATAGAGGGATTTGTTCTAATAGTGTTTGTAAGTAGGATATCATTTCCGCATCTTGTACAGCAATTAACCACTAGGAAGAATGTATGCAATGTGTTAATTATTGAAACTGTCCTATCAATTTGGTTTGAAACTGTCTCATTGCTATTTGTTTCTCAATAAAATTATGGAAAAAAATTCGAACACGTCTATAATTCCAGCTACTTGGGATGCTGAGGCAAGAGGATTACAAATTTCAGGCTAGCCTGAAGTAACTTAGTAGACCCTATCTTAAGCCAGAAAAAAAGTCTGGTGAAAAGCTTTTGCCTATCATATGCAAGGCCTTGGGTTTAGTCCCCAGCAACACACACACACACACACACACACACACACACACACACACACGCCCGTCAAACATATAAACAAGGTAACAAGTCTTTGTTCCTTCCTTCCTTCTTCTATGATCGCTGCATGTTGGACTGATGCGTTTCCTTCCCGGCATTGCTCATTTGTCTACGTATTTGTATTTGATATTTTTTTTTTTTTACATATTTGTTTTTTAATCTATGTATTTGTAAACTTGAGAAATATAGAGCTGAGTTTCATTTTCTCTTTCAAACTTTTACATTAAGTGATGACATCTTGGAATCTTGAATATATTATTCTACGGTTTCCTTTTTTTCTTTTTACTCCACATTGTGTGTTGGAAATATTTTTATGTGGAGTGTAGTAGATTTGTGTTGTTCATTTTTGCTGCTGTGTAGTACTCTGTAGTATGGTCTTACCAGAATTTTTGCTCTGGTTATTGATGGCCATAGAGATTTTTTCCCAGTATTTCTGCTTTTGATATAATTGAATATTTTGTGCACATATCCCACTCATTGTTTCGGACAGAATAGGAAACTAGAAGAGCTGGACTGAAGGGCATTACATTTAAATGAGAAAAATGCTAGCCCCTATGGGCTGCACTGTGGGGATGGCAGGGCCATAGCCCTGTGCTCTGTGGCTTGCTGGGGGCAAGGTGGGGTGAAAGGAGCCCCTGGGGTCCACAGGTGGCTGGTGGGAGAGGGTGAGCTGCCATCAGTCCGCCCTTGCGCTTGTTGGGTTGTGTTCCACTTCCTGGCAGCATGACAGCTCACTGGCTGACAACTTCTGCTTGCTGGTGGAGCTGGTGTTTGGGAGGCTGCTGGGGTGTTCGAGCACAGTGGGGTGGGATCGTGGGGGCAGCTCCCCCGCGCCTTTGAGCTCATAGCATCCTCTGAGTCAACCTTCCTCACCTGCAGGTGGAATGTGAGTTCCCTTCCCGAGAGGGAGCACTGAATTTCCTTCTCTGGCCCTGCATTGCCCTTCCACTAGTGTCTCTGGACCTTGGACTCTCTGAGCCCCACCCACACTGCGCTTAGTCACCCTCGCATAGGTCGGCTAGCTGGGGGTGGGGGTGGGGGGTCCTGGCTCCTCCCATGTGCTCCGTCACTTGCACTTGCGCTGTGGTTCCCTCTATCCAAAGCATTCTTTCTCTGGCTGAGTCATCCAACTCTTCAGGTTTGGGTCCAGCATGACCTCTGGGGAGCCATCGCCGAGCCTTTTCTGCACCCACCTCATCACTAATTAGAGCAGAAAATTCATAGCTGATACTTAGTGGCAGGCAGGATAGTGGTAGGCCCAGGACTACAGATTGCAGTTTGTCCTCTGGGATTGGAATCCCAGCTCTACTGCTTACTCTCTGTGCATTTTCAGGAAATGTTACTTAACTCGTTGGTGCCTCGGTTACCCCATTTGTAAAGATGAGGAAAATTATATCTGCCTTGTAAAGTTAGTGAGAGATTCAATTGAGTTGGCAAATGATGAAATGATATGATAAAAACTGGGTAAGTTATATAAATTGTTGTCTGTACATTCTCTACTATTGTACATTTATGTAATCTCTTATTACTATGTATTCTGATTGTCATCTTCATGATTATTTATCAGGTGCTGACTTTGCACCAGGCCTTGCTTCTCACATGGTAACTCAGTTAATCCTCACAAGCAACCCTGTGAGCGTACAAAGAAAAGTCAAACTCCGTTTAAAAAAAAATACCTTGGGGTTTAATTTACATATCATAACATTTGCCCATTTTAAGG